GGGCAAAATTTTACTAAAATACAATTAATGCCTGATAATACAATAGCGGTAGGAGGTGCTTGCCTAAATTTTAATCTTGCTAAATTCAGTCAAGAACATTCAATCAGTGGTTTGGAATTTTTAATTGGAATTCCCGGCACTGTGGGCGGCGGAGTGATAATGAATGCGGGCTCTTATAATTCCGAATTTAAGGATATTATACTAAGTATTGAAGCTATAACTACACGAGGGGAGTTTATTACTATTACTAATGAAGAAATAGGCTTTAAGTATCGTGGCACTAATTTACCCAAGGATTTGATTATCATTAAGGCTATTGTAAAAGGGACAATAGGTAATAAGGAGGTGATTACCACCACGATGAATACAATAAGTAACACTAGACAAGCTACTCAGCCTATTAAAGAACGTACAGGAGGTAGTACCTTTGCAAATCCTACACATTGTAAAGCATGGCAATTAATTGATCAGGCTGGGATGAGAGGATATCAAGTTGGAGGAGCTGCAATATCTAGCTTACATTGTAATTTTATGATAAATCAAGGTAATGCGTCTGCTTATGATTTAGAAACTTTAGGAGAGTTGGTTAGAGAGAAAGTACTTCAAGATAGCGGGATTAGCTTGGAATGGGAGATTAAACGGATAGGAAAATATGCATAAATATATTCTCAATAAATTTCAAGAGTTGGATTTTATGTTGAGGGGTGAGCGCGTGGAGCGTACACGTCAGTACATGAGCACACAAACCGCTGATAAAATGAAAAAACAACTCTTGAAAGACGAAGAGTATACTACTCGTTTCATTGCTAATTGTAAAGTAACCTTATTAAGTAACGAAGGGAAAAAGCATATAGCCCTAATAGGGGGCGGGATGTCAGCTGAACGGGAAGTGTCGTTAGTAACATCTGCGGAAGTAGGCAAATCTCTGATACAAGCTGGATATAAGGTAACTTTTATAGATATGGGGGTAGATATTGCCAGCGTACTTTTAGAATTACAACCCGATATTGTGTATAATGGCCTGCATGGTACTTATGGAGAAGATGGTTGCCTTCCTGGTTTGCTTAATATTTTACGTATTCCTTATACTCACAGCGGAGTTTTTGCTTCTTCTTTAGCATTTAGTAAAGTCCATTCAAAATTTTGGTTTATTGCTAATAATATTAATACCCCTAAGAGTATCATAGTTAATAAATCTAGCAACATTAAGCATGACCCTATGTTAAGACCCTACGTTATAAAGCCTTTAACGCAAGGTTCCAGTATAGGGGTTGAGATAGTCTTACAAGAAGATGATTTTAACTTCGCTAATTACGATTTTCCTTATGGTGATCAAATTTTAGTCGAAGAATATATAAAAGGTAGGGAAATGCAAGTGGCCGTTTTAAACGGTAAAGGATTAGGAGTGCTAGAAATACAATTGCTAAAAAGGCGTTTTTATGATTATGATACTAAATATACAGAAGGTTATGCTAA